AGCCATGCTTGAGCCCTTCCTGCCTGCCCCTTCCCCTCCTGCCCCCTCTGCCAGCCCCCTTCCCCAAAGCCTGCCCTCCGAGTCTCCTCCGTTCTCCCTCTTCGTCTCTTTTCTGAGCCTCTTCCAAAAGGCAGTTCCACCGGCCAGCCATCCTCTGCAGGTTATGGCCGGGAACAGGGGCCAGGGCTCCCAAGCGTTGTTACCTGGGCTGCCAGGAGCCTTTCGTGCCTCATTAAATGCCAGGCAGACCCACCCATTGTCTCAAGCGTCCTGGTGTCTCTGGGCAAGAGGGGACCTGCTCTCCCTCTTTCGGCCGCCGAGTGCCTCTGCGGGAGGCCAGCTGGGGACCCCCTTGGAGAGGCAGGGGCCAAAGGTGCACTTACCTCTCAGGTGTCCTTCTGCCACAGTGCCCGCCCTCACAGCAATGGCTGTGGCAGAGGAACCCCCCCCCCCCGATCCCCACCTCAGCTGGCCTGTCTTTTGGAGATGGGGAGGCTGGGCTGAAAGAACAGCAGGGCGGGGAGGAAACTGCAGATAGGAAAGCTGGGTGGGGGTTGGAGGGGGCAGGAGAGAAGGAGGTCTCTTGCAAGAGAATGACTCAGGGGAGGGGGCAGCCTAGGGGCCACTCTGATGCTGAAACGAGGCTGGCCACTCAAGGTGTGCCCCAAGGGTGGGCAACCCTCCTCGTCGGCAACAGGCAGGAGGGGCTGGGTGTCCCGTGGCTGGTCCATGGTGCTCTTGGCCAACTTTCTTGGCTTCATCCTGGATGGTGCTGGGCTGGGAACTTTGGAGACCAGTCTTGGTAGGCTCCTGGGCCCATAAAGACCGGAAGGAGAAGATTCCTCCAGGGTATCATACCTATCCTCTACCCAGGAAGAAGAACCTTCTCTTGGGGCACAATGTTGGGGTGTGGGGAGAGGCAAAAGGGTGCCTTCTCTTCTCCCCCCCCCAAGATCCTCTTCTGGAGGCCTTGTTCCAGGGCCCACTGAGCAGATTGCAGGGAGTGAGAACCCCAGGGAGGTGGCCGTGGTTCAGGTGGGCGTGTCACGAGAAAGGTGGGCAAAAGCCACCACAAAGGGGAACACGCTGGCCTTGAAGGGTTGGGGGCTCATTGAAGTGAATACATGCAGATCGCCATAATAAGAGTTCTGCCCCCCCCCCGAGGAGAATGACGGGGCATAAGCTGGGATATCCATTAAATTAATACAGTTTAGTATTTTAGTAGCACAGGATTTTAAAAAGGGGGGCAATCTGGTCCCAATCCAGGCCATGGCCACGCTAGCCTTGGGGTGCGTGTGCGTCTGTCACATTCCCGGGGGTACAACAGCCGAAGTCTGATAAACCAGTCCAGGGTCAAGAAGACCAAGAATGCAAAGCCAATGTCCATAAATCAACTCACAGAAGGAAGTCCAGTGTCAAAGTCCAGAGTCCGATACACAGCATAGTCCAAGGTCAGAGTCCAAAGTCCAATACCAGTGTAGTCCAGGGGCAGAGTCCAGAGTCAGGAACACGGTTCAAGAAGCATGGATGCAAGCCAAGGTTTTGACTCCTTGCTTCCACAGAATTTCTGGCTTCACTGGGAGCTGTTTTATAGTAAAACAGCTCCTTGAGTTGCTGGAAAGCTTTCTATCCTGTTAATACTCAGGACTAGATGAACGTAGGTTTCTGTGGACAGCCTTCGAGCGATCCTCTGATCTCCTTGACCTAAGTCTTTCCCGAAGCCTGGCCCGAAGCTTGTCTGCTGTGGAAGGAGAATCTGGAGGCGGGTCAGGTGTTTCTGATCTCTCCGCATTCTCTTCAGCCACAGTTAACCCTTCAGGTTCCAGGTCTTCGGAAGCACTCATGACAGCGTATGCGTGTGGCCCCTAATGATGCAGCAGTTGGCTGACGGGGAAAGGGGGGGCATCCTGTCTGGGGTGGGGTCCTGCTGAGGCTGGGGCAAGGCCTTTCCGCCTTGGGGCAAACGCTTGCCTTTGGATCCAGAACACCAGCTCCCCAGCAGGAGGGTGGCGCAGAGGGCCAAGGGAGGGATGCGGACGGAGGCCACCTAGGTCTGAATCTCTGGTCGGCTGTGCAAACACACTGGGGTCATGTGGCCCCTGGAGAGACTCCAAAGACCTTGAAGGAGCTACCAGGGAGGCCAGAAGCCAACCCCCCGCTTGATGGCCTGTAACAAAGGGAACTAACTCTCCAGGGTGCTTCATTGTGTTGTGAGTCTTCTGTTGCTGTGGTTGTTCTCGCGCCTCACCGGGAGATCCGGTGTGCCAGGGCAGGCCCCACGCAGTGAGTGAAAGAGGAAACCAGCCCAGCGTGACGCACCGAGCTGCCCTGTGATCAGTTTCGAGGGCTTTCCAAGGGGATCAAGCGCGACGAAAGGGCAGCTTTCCAGGGGTGAGCGAAAGGGACAGGAAACATGGCTGCCCTGGAGGGCAGCTCCCAGCCTCCCCCTTGGAGAGGGACGAGCGGCCAGGTGGCCCTGGGCCGTGGTGACCCGTGTGAACCCAAAGGACGTTTCACACTAGGGAACAGCAGCTCTGCCCCATGGCCCTAGGGTGAGCGTGCAGAGCCTGTCTTAGGGACAGAGGTGTTCTCTCTCTCTCTCTCTCTCTCTGTGTGTGTAGTTGCAGGCAGGTCCTTGGACAGCTCCTGCCAAGAGGCCCCACTTTCTCCTTGCTTGGGTGGCCTAATTCATGGCTGCTTCTCCAAATGTCTTGGAGCCACTGCCTCCCACCTGCAGGAGGGAACTTGAATGGCTTCCCTGCAGAGCCTCCTCTAGAAGGCCACTTGCCCCCCAGGGCCCTTCTTGCCTGGCATCATCCGGGGAAGGGACCGTCTACCATGTCAGGCTTCTGGTCTGTCCAGCTGCAGTCTCCTATGGGGGAGGCCGAGGGAAACTAGGGTCCACTTTGAGTACCCTGGCCCCCACCTGAGAGAAAGAGAGAGAGAGAGAGAGCCTAAAAGGCCCTCCCCACCCCTTCATGCATGCACACAGACACGCACACGTACGCACGCACACACACACAGAAGCAAGGCCCTCCGGCTGCCCTGGTGGAGGAGCCATTCTGGCGACAGCCGAGCCTGTGAGCTGCGCACTGAGCCGAGGAGGACAGTGTGCTCCGGAGCCTGCGTACATGGGTCGCACTCCAGCCCTGACTCTGGCAGCAGAGTTCAGTCCTGGGACAGGCAAGGCAGTGAAAAACACCCCAGGGGCCTTCCCTCCCACGCCGAGTGGCGACTCCGTCTGCCTGGATCCAGCCCGCCCCCCCCCGCCGGCGGCCCGAGGAGGTCTTGGCACCCCTCGTTGGGGGTTCCTTTCTCTCCACTGGCCTCGTTCTGCGTTTCAGTTCCTGTCTGGCCACATTTTGCTTCCTCGTGCTTTCTGACTTCAACCCGTGCTTTCCATACCAGGGCGTGACTTTTCTACCAAGCGTGGCCACAGGTGGGATGGGTGTGGGTGTGTGTACGGTTGTGCTGATTTCTCAAAGGTTGTGTAGAGGCCTTGACCTCAGGTAAAAAGCTGCACTCTGGGAGGGTCAGAGCAGGACTCCTGCTGGCAGGGGGTCCCTTCCTATTACGGTCCACCCACGACGGGCCATCGCTATATTAGACACATTTAGTGTAGGCTGTGTCAGGGATGTTACGTCTCCATGCGTGGTGTGTGTGTGTGTGTGTGGGGGCATCAGCCCAGAAAGAAACCACCTGCCAGAAGCGTATTGTCCCAAGACTAGCTTGCCTTATCCAGGTGAGAGCGTCTTCACCTGCTCAGCGAAGGTGTCCGATCCCCTGGGAATGGGACAGCTTCCACCCAGCCTCTCTGGGAGGGGGGTGTGTGGCTACTCCCTTGACCCGTCCCCTCTGACAGCTCCATCCCAGGCCAGCGAGGCTGCACAGGCTCGCCACTTACCCATGTCCAGGGTAGCTTTTCTGCTGTAGGAGGGAGGGAGGGAGGGAGGGAGGGCCTGGTCTTAGCAGGGACCCCTGAGCCCAGGTAGACTCTCCAGTCCACAAGGGCGTCTCCATGTTGCTTTTCACCAACACATATCCGGCTGAATCTGATCAACCACCTACTCAGGAGGGCTGCTGAGCTACCAAAGCTGAGTGGCTTTGGGTCTTCCTCCAGACTCAATGAAGGCGCCCCCACTGGAGCTCTGGCTGGTCCACGATGCTTGGAGAGCACCAGGGGCCCCCTGATGGAAGACCCAGCTTGTTTGTGCAGCTGCGCCAACTCCCCTTGGCCTCAGAGGAGCCCCGCAGGCCAGTGTTCCTCTGGTGAGCCGTGGGGGCCAAGGGGGTGCTCACACCCCAGAGCTTCAGCACAAAGGGGATGGGGGCTAGTCCTTGTGGGCCCCAGCTCCCTCCCCACCTCTCACATGCCCGTGTGATGTGGTGGGCAGAACACTGGACTAGGACTCAGGAACTGGGTTCAAATCCCCATTTATTTCCCTTGAAACTGGCAGGAGGTGGCAATGATAAACCGTTTCTTGAATGTCTCACCATATTTGTAGCCAAGGAATTTCACAGGCACACAAGGAAAAGGGAAGTGCAGCTGTTTTCTCCAGGGCCGCCCGCCTGAGGGCCTTACCCGGAATGGAGAAGAAGGGCCGCCGCTGGAAGAAAAATCCTCCCCCTCCGCATGTTGTGGCATCTGAAAGATGCACCGGCATTTCAAGGCATAAGCTGCCCTGACAGCCTCTGGAGGGAAGGGCAGGGATTTTCACAAGCCTCCCATATGTTCCTTGACCTTATGAACCAGTAGTTTCCAGAAGGTCCTTCTGTCATTCACAGTCCTACTCAGCTCTGGCACATTCAAGCCTGTGGTTTCCTTCATGTACTCAACCCATCTGGTATTGGGCCTTCCTCTTTTCCTACAGCATTATGGCTTCTTCTCCTGCGGTTCCGCCTTCTCACGACGTGTCCAAAGCAGGACTGCCTCCGTTTCGTCAATTTTGCTTCCAGAGGAAGCATTCCACTTACGACCACCTACTACGTAGGTGAGAGATTCAAAGGACTGTATGCTTTTCCCAATTTTTACCACCCCGAGGATCTTTCCCGTGGCTGCGCCCAGTCTCTGGAACTCCCTTCCACAGGAGACCAGACGGCCCCATGTCTGACTCTCCGGACAGCCGCGAGCCCGGTCCAAAGAGGTCTCCCGGGCTCCTCGGCTCTGGGAGACCGAGCCAGGCGTCTCCGTCCTCCGGTGCCCGCCCTTCCCTCTCCCGGGGCCAGTTTCGGTTTCGCTTCCTTCCGCCCCGCCAGCTGACCTACGTGCGCGAGCGGCGGCGCAGGTGACCATCGACGGGCGGGAGGGGACGGCTCTCCGGGGCAGGCCGGGGACGGAGGAAGCGCCGCCGAGGGAGGCGGCGGCCCGGCGGCCAGAGCCCTGGTAAGGCGCGCCCACCGCCCCAGACTCCCCGGGAGCAGGGAGGGACCTCGGGCTGCGCTGCCCCGCTGCCGGGAGCGGGCCTGCCGGAGCACCCGGGCGAGCGGACGGGAGGGCGAGGGGACGGCTGACCCCCTTGCCGCCCAGCCTCTCCACCTTCCCCCCCCCGGAACGCCCCATATCCCCTCCTCGTGGGTCGCCCCCTTCGTCCCCTCTCCCCACCCTACGTGTGAGCACGCCGGGGCCTGCCCGCGACCGAGAGGGGCACCTCCTCCTCTCCCCT